TCATATGTGATTATTATGCAGACTGCAAGTGTTGATTTATATTAATGTTATAATCCAGAAAATTGGATTATGTTAGCCACAACCGAATGAATCCTTTCCACTCCAGGTTTAAAGCGTTGGACAATAAATCACCTGAATGTATCTAACAGCTCATTTGAGCAGCCATATAGAGCGTCCATCAAACTTTCACACAAATGCAAATAATAAAAGACAAGCTCTAGTTTTTATGTCACTGATTATTATTGTTGTCATTTTGAATAGCTAGTTTTATTGCCATGTACCTTACGATATCCATCACTGTGGTGAAGGCCAGTAAACAGCTTTACTACATGGGTTTATGAGGAGTTTACATGTTAGTAGACACCCTGAGAAAGTGTAATAACGTAGCCTCCGCTGGGATGGCACAGATAAAATGCTTTATCAGGAAGTAGGGGCTCGTAAATCCCTCTTGAACAGCTCTCAGATGCCGGTCTTGTTCATCTGCTCCTCTTCACTGCATCAAACATAGGCATTCAAAACACAAAGATGTCCTTTCCAGACCTCACGGAAACCATAAGAGCTTATCTATTCTTTCCTCTCACACACTAGTCATATGTCGATTTTTGTTTCGTTAAACTGAGTCACTGGTGTGAAATCAGCAAGGAATAATTTGTCAAGCTGAGCAGGAATCAGACGATACAGCACGATACGAAAATTGGATTATGTTAGCCACAACCGAATGAATCCTTTCCACTCCAGGTTTAAAGCGTTGGACAATAAATCACCTGAATGTATCTAACAGCTCATTTGAGCAGCCATATAGAGCGTCCATCAAACTTTCACACAAATGCAAATAATAAAAGACAAGCTCTAGTTTTTATGTCACTGATTATTATTGTTGTCATTTGAATAGCTAGTTTTATTGCCATGTACCTTACGATATCCATCACTGTGATGAAGGCCAGTAAACAGCTTTACTACATGGGTTTATGAGGAGTTTACATGTTAGTAGACACCCTGAGAAAGTGTAATAACGTAGCCTCCGCTGGGATGGCACAGATAAAATGCTTTATCAGGAAGTAGGGGCTCGTAAATCCCTCTTGAACAGCTCTCAGATGCCGGTCTTGTTCATCTGCTCCTCTTCACTGCATCAAACATAGGCATTCAAAACACAAAGATGTCCTTTCCAGACCTCACGGAAACCATAAGAGCTTATCTATTCTTTCCTCTCACACACTAGTCATATGTCGATTTTTGTTTCGTTAAACTGAGTCACTGGTGTGAAATCAGCAAGGAATAATTTGTCAAGCTGAGCAGGAATCAGACGATACAGCACGATACAGCCTCAAATGCGAAATCTTAAAAAGAGCTTGTAAAGCTGGAGTAAATGTCAAGCTTGATAAAACACATTCCCTTTGATCTTTAAAAAAAAAAAACCTTGCTGCAGAATCCAGACACTCAAAGCAGGCGAAACTAGACCTGATGTGTGACTGCGTGGTAATATTTACCATGTTTATTAATATTCACATGAGAAGATTTTCTGTTTTACCATTAGCAATCCAAAAGGCTGAATATTTTGAGCAGAACCTAAAGAGATGAAATTAATAAATCACCGTCATTTAATCACCCTCATGTCATTCTGAACCTGTATGAACTTCTTTCTTCACAAAAAGAGATGCATATATAACTCTACCATTCAAATTCACCATTCAAATTCAGATTGCAAGGAGCCTCTATGCTCATCAAGGCTGCATTTATTTGATAAAAATACTGTAAAGTACCGTAAACAAATTGTGTAAATATTATAACAATGTAAACCAAATGTTCTATGGTAATATATTTTAAAATGTAATTTATTCCTGGCAAAGCTGAAGCTTTACCAGCCATTATTTCAGTCATTAGTGTCACACGATCCTTCAGAAATCATTGTAAAATGCCGATTTAGTGTTCAAGTATCATTTTTATTGTTGTCAATGTTAAAAATAGTTGTGCTGCGTAATATTTATTTGGAAAACATGATGTATATTTTTCAGGATTCTTGATGAATTCATGAATTTATTTGAAACAGAAATAGTTTGTAACATTACAAATGTCTTTATTGTCACTTTTGATCAGTTTAATGCATCCTTGCTTTAAAAAGTATTAATTTATTTAAAAAAACAACAACAACAAACTTTTTATTCGCTTATTTTTCCCAGCATCGTTTCCAGCATAAGTACAGTCGCAATATTAAAAAAATAAAGCCATTTAAAATAAGTCTAACTGAGATTTTATTCTTCCTGCAAGAGGGAATTACTGTATGTAAAGATGTTATGTGAACTATTTATATTTAAAAAAAACAACAACAACAAACTTTTTATTCGCTTATTTTTCCCAGCATCGTTTCCAGCATAAGTACAGTCGCAATATTAAAAAAATAAAGCCATTTAAAATAAGTCTAACTGAGATTTTATTCTTCCTGCAAGAGGGAATTACTGTATGTAAAGATGTTATGTGAACTATTTATTTCCAGCGACCCAAGAGAGAAGTACAACACAGTGTTGTTGATGTACAATGGCAGTGCACCTCAGAGACAGCTCAGCTCTAATGTCTCTCTCTCTCTCTTTCTGTCTCTCTGAGGAGTTTGTTCCTCTCCACTGGAGTTCAGCTCATCACAACAATGATCACTGAGTTCCTACAGAGACCGCTTGAAATCAACATGAAATGGCTTTCACAACCCATTTTACTTCCATAATGTGACACGTTTCTAATTAAAAAGCTGTTTGACTATTGGTTAACATTAACCAAGATCCTACTCAGCTAGATTACATGAATTGATGACTTGTGCATAATATGACCAGGAACGTGGATTAAAAAAACAAGGTGAAGTGTGCAATTTCTACGGCACAAATGCAATTGCACAAATAATTGTTTCACTATTGGTTGAATTGTTTTGCTAGAAGTTGACAAGCTGGACTGCTAAAATGAACAAAGCACTGTTTTAAAGTGCTGAAGAGCGACAGCGTTTACACTCTGCTTAAGATTGGCTTACTCATAGTTGTCTTTGCACGTTAATCTAGGAAAGGAGAAAGTATTCTAAAACATGACTGAAATGGCCAGGTTTATGTTATTGAGGCTGAGCGTTGTCACTGTTATGAGTGTGGACAGCAGTGCTTGGCTCCTCTCTGGAGCAGCACCATGGACAGCGACAGCCCCGTCAGCCTCAGGTCTCCCCTGCGGGACTGACACCGCACACACTGCAGCTCTATAGTCATTCTGCTGCTTGAACATCTGTCCAAAGGAAGGATATTCTAGTTGCACTCAGGTCTGTTTCCTTCTGTAGTTAGTAACTCCTAACTGAACATATTTTGCTTAATTGTTAATACTCTGTGGTGCTTTACGATCTGTGGTGCAGTGCTCCCCAGAGCCACACTTTATCAAGAGGCTTTGTGCTAATAAATTTCAGCAAATTAGATTTTCTGCAAAGTGGACAAAAAGTATTGAGTCCGCTGGATTCTACAGAGAACTCACAACATTAGCTATTATTTGTCTATGTAAAGCTAAAATGTGTTTTTTTCCCCCCCCATTTTTTTATGCATACAAAAAAGTTTTTATGCAATAAAATATGTTAAAAGGAAATCACAGTGGCTACTAGAGTGAGAAAGAGAATAAAGAGAGGTTTGTCAGTATATTTGTTACACAATTTTCTACGTTGATTTGATGTTTTCCATACTCACTGCAAGGGCATAAATGTCAGTTTACAGTCTCGGCTGTAAATTTTGTATTTTAGTCACACAAACCATTCAACAATCTTTCAAAGGGATTATTTCTCTATTCAAAATCAAAATTAAAAATAGGATTTATTAAATGTACAATATACAATATGAAATATACAGTAATAAAGCCAATAATAATTTGAGTCCACAGTGGCAATAGAGAAAGAGTTGCATGTCTTTTTTTTGGTGAATCTTCAAACGAGTCAATGATTCAATGACTCTCTTAAAAACACAGTGTTCATCTGTCGCCACCTACTGCAGTAGATAGATAGATAGATGGATAGATGGATGGATGGACGGACGGACGGACGGACGGACGGATGGATGGATGGATCTATCTATCTATCTATCTATCTATCTATCTATCTATCTATCAGTCCGTCCGTCCGTCCATCCATTCATCCATCCATCTATCTATCAGTCCGTCTGTCCGTTCGTCTATCTGTCTGTCTGCCCGTCCGTCCATCCATCCATCCGTCCGTCTGTCTGTCTGTCTGTCTGTCGATTTATTAAATGTACAATATACAATATGAAATATACAGTAATAAAGCCAATAATAATTTGAGTCCACAGTGGCAATAGAGAAAGAGTTGCATGTCTTTTTTTTGGTGAATCTTCAAACGAGTCAATGATTCAATGACTCTCTTAAAAACACAGTGTTCATCTGTCGCCACCTACTGCAGTAGATAGATAGATAGATGGATAGATGGATGGATGGACGGACGGACGGACGGACGGACGGATGGATGGATGGATCTATCTATCTATCTATCTATCTATCTATCTATCTATCTATCAGTCCGTCCGTCCGTCCATAATTCTATCAAGAATTCTATCTGCCTATTTATTTTATTTTATTAATATATTTGTATAATATTGACTGTAAATTTGTCCCCTGCTGTCGAGAATCTAAGGTTTGTGTTTGTGAACCGAAACCATTTCAACATATGCCGGTTTGTCGATTTTTGTCCGAAAATATTTTTTGCGAAGACGCACTGAAACATTCACGTTCGCCGTATTTACATAATGTTTTATGTTTAATAGTCATTTTAATGGAGTCGTGTTAGTGGAGTCGGGTAACCTCATTAAGACGGCGTTTCCTAAATATTTGAATTTTCCTAAATGTTAAATAAAATAAACAAAACGTGTCCATGCGTAAATGTGGAGATCCTACTATTCGTTGGGAAATTGCACAGCTGCAACTTTAAGACAGAAGCGAACTCCCCCTCTTTTCTCGAACAATGGTCTCTACCATCCACCGCTGCTCTCGCAGCTGAATCCTTAACGTGCCATTTTATTACTAATGGGCATATCTGGAAATCAAAATGTCATCGATATACGGGACAGTATCGCGTTTCTGAGGATGCCAGCGGTGGACATCCATGCGGGTTTCGCCGGAGCAGTGCTGATTTTGGCCAGTGAAGCTTCCTTGTAGTGAATCGGATGATTGGAGCAGCTGTGCGCTCACGCTTAAGATTGCAGCTGTCATTGATATTGCACAGTGAATAGTGAGTATAAGACAACCCATACACAATACAGTGCAATAGTCATTGTTTCCGACTTGTAAAATTACGGTACTGTTTGTGCACCATTCTCAAGGTGATTCGGAAATGCCTCTTTAGTGAAAGGAAACTTCCAACAGATGTGAAAGGTATTGTTGTAGTAGCAGAGATCATTGAATGTGTGAGTGAATGAATGCATGAATGAATGCATGCATGTGTATTCTTGGGAACTGATGATAATCTTTCATATCTCATACAGGGAAAAGGTGCATAGATCAATGGAAGACACTGACAGAGAGAAATGAAAGAGAGAGGAGGGAGGGAGAGAGAGAGAGGCAAAGACAGGCATGATGTAATGCGCTTGAGACAATGGTTGAGGATTCTCTCCATTTAGAGTCACAGCAGCAGAATAGGCTGTTTTGAAAGCGATGAGATCACTATAACATGCAGGCTTGCTAGGTGTAGTGGGCATGTCAAGGGAATTGTCCCTGCATATCCCCCTCGCCTGTGGTCCGGCTGTAATGGACCTTATTCACATGTGCCGGAGGACTGTGTGAATGTGAATGTGGTGCTCTAATGTAGTACTAATGATTGGCTGTTCAGTCAAACAAAGCATGTTTGAATGATTACAGCATGAAGCTTTAATTTACATTTGAAGAATTAATTGACACATTTAATAGTGATGTTACTCACACACAATTAATTTCATCGCTAATATGTAATATTTTACTGTTTTACTGTCATTAGGCAATATTGTGCTAAAATTGACAAGACAGTCATACAATCACATCATGTTTAATGTTTATTAAAGCAATTTTGTGACTCTGTACATTTTTTAAAGTTTAAAACATTTTCTAGTAAACGTCATAAGTTATATATTTATATCCAAACATATAGCACTCACATAGCATCAGCTTTCAAACCTCAAATCGAGTAATTTTTGCTACTTTGTGGACACTAAACATTTAACGTGGCAGCCATGATTGCGTATTATTGATGGAGAATTGTGGTGGCCACACTGGTGTTCTTGCCTCTAATGGTCCTTACTGTGTAGACAGAGAGGCCGAGAATAGGATGTCCCACTGACCCTGGTGGTTGTGCTAGTGTGTAAAGGCTACCACAGCCATTTCCACTGTATTTGATCAAATGTACAGCTGGTTTGTATGACCTTGGTAGGGGGTGTGTGGTGGAAAGGATCTTTTTCACACCACTGAATGTGCGCGGGTTGGTTCTATGGCAGTGAAAAATTACAGTTGGGTTCAGCATGAGACCACTGTTGAAAACCTGGGATATAAAATCATATTTAAATCTCAACATTAAAAAAATTATAATATAAAAATAAAATATTAAAATAGAATTATTATTATTATTGTAAATATATAATATAATGTCCTAAGAAATTTTAAGAGCACACAGTGGAGTCCAGTCTGAGCCCACTGTTGTAGAGCTGATATTTAAAATCTAATTGAATTATAAATAAATAAATAATACAATAAGAATAATATAAAAATAATTAAATATCTAAATTATCTAGTCATTATAAAAATGTATATAATCATAATGGAATTTTTAAGAACACTCAGTGGGGTCTGGTTTGAGACCACTTAAAGATCTGGGTTTTAAAAATGTAATTTAAATCCACAAATAAACAAAAACATTTAAATAATAAAATAAAAAAAATGAAACAAAACTGTATTTATTTATTGTATAACCATAAACTAAATAAATTAAAACTCAGTGGAGTCTAGTCTGAGACCACTATGGAAATTTGGGATTAAAAATACAAAACGAATCTCCAAATAAACAAAAATGTTTAAATATAAAACGAAGAGAGAGAGAGAGAGAATATATATTACATGTTATGTATTTAGTACAAATGTAAATAATTAAAATAAATAATAAAAAGTTTAAGATTATATATCATGTTTAAGATAATGCAAGTCACTAATCAAATGAAAGTAAATGTGAGACTTTGACCATGTGAATACAGCTTGAAATGTTCAAAAATGAAGTTGCATTAATAATAATAATAAAACAAATCTAAATAGAAGCTTTTTTACTAGTGGTCTCAGACTTTTGGAGCCCACTATATATTAAATGCAGCATCATAATTTTCGTGGTTGGTGCAGTTCCATTATTCTTGACCTGTCTTGTATCGCTACAAAATCCACAGGTTTCATTGAACTCCCTCACCTCAGCCCTCCCTTTCCTCTCAATCTGTACCTCTCTCTCTTTCTCCCTCCCCACACAGCCATGCATTCATTCAGGACAGTGTGTGTGGAATATGATCGCTCTTGTTGTCATCAGTGGGGCTTTTACTCTGGGCATTGTCTTGTGCTCCTCTCAATACTCCGATTGAAATGTGGGTTTAAAATACAGCGTACAGTACTCTCAGACCAATTGTGCCATTGAGCAGTCTTGGGTTTGTGCCCATTTGCTTTAAATTTCACTGCAGGATGTTGTGCCAAATATCCAGTCAATAATCCATTCCTTTGTTCATTTATTCAGTCCAGCCCACACGCTTGGACCATCACTGTTTACAAACCCCCTACTTTCAACTTGGTACAGTTCATTATTGGATTATTTGGCTCTGTTTGCTCATTAACCAATCATAAAGGGATTGATCAACAAAATATATGATACATAATGGATTTGAAGACCTTTATTTGACCCGTTTTGCTACCAAAATGTGGCGTAATTGCACTAGAACAAGGCCGTAGATCCCTTGAGCAATATAAAAACAGAACTATTACTGAGTAATGACCCTGTTGGATCAGTCCAAAGTAAACCATCATAAAGCAATTATTGCCCAAATGGGACGCAGGATTCCATTGCTCTTTATGCTCATTGAATATCGCTATGTATATAGTAGGCTGAAGTCTTTCCAGCCTCACTGCTGATGTCTGATGTTAGTGGCTGTTTGGTGTTATGAAATATAGATGGGGGGAGTCTTCACTTAAGATGCTGTAATGGTTTTTCTCTTCCCCTCTTCCAATCCTGCTGCGTCATTCTTTCTTTCTTCCTTTCTCCCTTTTCTTTCTTCATGGAGCTTCGTATAGATCACAAAGATGCAGTTGCTTTCGTTTGTTTGGTGGTTCAGTTGAGTTTCATTCATCATTTTACATTTGGAGCATGTAGGAACATGTGCTTATAAACTTCAGCAACTGACATTTTCTGCTGTGTTGACAAAAATTGAGACCGTTTGATGCTACAGAGAATTCACAAAATTAGCAAAATGTTACAATTTCTGCTCTGCAATTTGCAATTTATTGCCAAAATATTTTAAAAGAAATCTCTGAGACTAGTAGGGTGAGAATTAGGAGAATTTTGTTAGTACATTTGTTTCATTTGTTTTTTAAATTATTATTATTATTATTATTATTATTATTATTTTATTTTTTAAAGTGATTTTTCTAATTGTTGTTAAGTAAGGGGTCGTATTTCAGAAAGTTTTGTAAACAGTGTGTGAATTGGAAAAAAATAACGTTTCAAAAACTTTTTTTTTTGGACACCCTTCTAAGCTACCATTGGTTGTACAGACACTTTTATTGTTGAAATATTGAAACTGGATTTTTAGTTTTATATTGCTGTAAAGTCAAATGATATAGAACAATAGGCACATGCTGTATAGATCAGTGAAATTAATTAACTCAATTACTTTATTATTATATTATATTATATTATAAATAATGTCTGTGTCATATGTGATTCATATGTGAGTCTCTTTAGTAGATGTATCTTCTTCAGTAAGCCCTAAAAGTTGTCTCATGTTGTTATTGTGGAGCTGTTGTGCTCACTGATGGTGTGTAATAGTGACGTCAGAGGTGGTGTGTAAACTGCTTTGCGCTGCAGCAGGTGTCTGTCCCTGACGTCACTCTCTGAGTGTGACTGAATGTGTCATATGAGGGCTCATTTACAAATCATTTCAAGTAATTTTAGCTTCATTATAACTTGTAGGCCTGTATGACTGAAAGTAGGTGAGTTGTTAACTATGTTATATCCAGATGTTTCTCAAAATATCAGGAAAAAGCAACCCTTCTTGGTTTTGGGTTTGATCCCCCACCCCTCCCTTGTTTATAGTGATTCGACAACTATCTTTACACTCATTTTTAATTGAAAATTGTTTTCCTGACGAGAAAGCTCTAAGGGCCAAGGGTAAGAAGTGGTGGTGATTTGTTTTGTATTGATCAACTATCAATATCCCAATAACTACCTCCATGTTCGACTGCAACAGAGATGAGAAGATGCTTCCAGATGCATGAGGGCTCATTTACAAATAATTTCAAGTCATTTCAGCTTCATTATAACTTGTAGGCCTGTATGACTGAAAGTAGGTGAGTTGTTAACTCCGTAATTAGTCCATCTTTTTCCATCAGTTTAACCACTTATGGATTTTCTGAACAGTTGGTAGGCGGGCATTATGTAGTTGACAGGATAATCAGCCAATCACAGTATATCCAGTGTTGTTATTGTTAACAAATTATTCAAAAATATTTTTTTAATTGAATATTACAAATATAATCAAATGTAAATATTAGATGGAAAAACTTAAGTGTAAACTTAAAAAAAATTAGAAATGTTGCCTTGGCAAATAACTGAAATAAAATAATTTTAAGTAAATTGAAGTAATAATAAAAAAAATACTTATTATATTCTAACACTAATATTATACACTACTAGTCAAAAGTTTTAAATGTAAAGTAAGATTTTTAATGTTTTTTAGTTTTTTTTTAAGAGTCCTCTTCTGCCCACCAAGCCTGCATTTATTTGATCCAAAATACAGCAAAAGCATTAATATTGTGAAATATCTTTACTATTTAAAATAACTGCTTTCTATTTGAATATATATTAAAATTTGATTTATTCCTTTGATCTAAGCTAAATTTTCAGCATCATTACTCCAGTCTTCGGTGTCACATGATCCTTCAGAAATCATTCTAATATGCTGATTTGCTGCTCAAGAAACTATTATTATTATTATTATTATTATTTAAAACAGCTGAATACATTTTTTTCAGAATTCTTTGATGAATAGAAAGATCCAAAGATCACCTGTAATAAAAAGCTTTTGTAACATTATACACTATACCACTTAAAAGCTTGTAGTCAGTATAATTTTTTATAATTTTTTTTGGGGGGGAAAGAAATTATAGAAATGAATAGCCTACTTTTATTTAGCAAGGATTGTTTTAATTGATCAAAAGTGACGATAAAGACATTTATAATGTTACAAAAGATTTCTATTTCAGATAAATGCTGTTTTTCTGAACTTTCTATTCATCAAAGAAATAGCTGTTTTCAGCTGTTTTCAACATAATAATAATAATAAATGTTTTTTGAGCATCATATCAAAATATTAGAATGATTTCTGAAGGATCTGACTGGAGTAATGATGCTCAAAATTCAGCTTTGAAATCACGAATAAATTACATTTTACAATATATTAAAATAGAAAACAGTTATTTAAATAGTAAAAATATGTCTAAATTTTACATTTACACATTTACATTTAGTCATTTTGCAGACGCTTTTATCCAAAGCGACTTACAATTGGGGAATACATAAAGCGATTCTTTTTCTTAAAGAGGCAAACAGACGCAGGAAGTGCTTGCAATACCAAGTTTCAAGCATTGTTCAAATAAGTACAAGCTAGAAAGGGAAGGAATAAATAAAGAGAAAGAAATGTTTGTTTTTTTTTTAAGATGAAGTCAAGTAGCGTTTAAAGAGATGAGTTTTCAGCTGTCGCTTGAAAATTGTCAGGGATTCAGCATTCCGGATAGGGGTGGGAAGATCATTAATTGTACTGTTTTTGCTGTACGTTGGATCAAATAAATGCAGGCTTGGTGAGCAGAAGAGAAATGTTTTTCTTTAAAAAACCATTAAAAATATTACTGTTCAAAAACTTTTGACTAGTATTATTATATTATATTATATTATATTATATTATATTATATATTTAGTTTGCTTTATTTGATTATTTTTATGAATTTTTTTGTCTTCCTTGCTTCCTTTAGAATCAGTAAATGTCTTGTGTTCTTTGCTCAAAAGGGTGATTGTTCCACTGAATAATTAATTAATTAAATATAATTACATTTTAATTAAGCAGCTTGTTAGAACAGTGGTATTTGTTTCAGTCTTGAGCTATTCTCATTGCATGTTTACATTTCATAAAAGAACATATTTTGTTTTTGAAGTAGCAGCCAACTTAGGTGAGGTCTTATTGCTATAATCATCTGTTATCTAAGTGACATTTGTCAAGTGTTTTGATAGCCAGCGGAAGTTTGAGAAACTCAGACGTGGTCTATCTCGTGATAGACCTTTACACATTAATTTGTCTTCTGAATTGTGTCTTTATTTATAACAGGAGGGAAAAAATCTGACTTTTCCAGGCTGCTTCAGGGCTCTCCATTGTATGCTTGGTTGGAGACAAGAGAGCTGGCCGCAGCCCAGAGCGTTTGTGGGTCTAAAGTTAGCAGTTAGTGGCTAGCTGGGAGATGGTGGGACTCTGGCTAACAGCCTGTTCACATAGTGTCTGCAGGCCCATTGCCAGTGACAGCCAGATTAGGTTGGACTTGTAAGCCTGCTATCTGTAAACATGAAACAAGTCCGAGTGTAGGCCATATGTCTTTCTATGTGTACACTATAGGGAGGTAAAATTGTGTTTGAATTTAAATGAATGATTGTTTAGGAACCGTTATTAGTTTTGCAGTTTTCCATTTGGTGAAGCAAATTTCAAATTGATCAGCTATCAGTATCTCAATAACTGCCTCAAGAACAGTCGCTACGTTAGACTGCAAATGAGACAGAAATGAGAGATGCTTCTAGATGCATTTAGAGGGCTCATTTACAGATTATTTCAAGTAATTTCAGGTTCATTTAAATTTGTATGTGACTGAAAGAGGTGATTTCTGAGTGGGTTATTTGTAAACTCTATAATTAGTCCATCCATTTCCATCAGTTTTACCACTCATGGATTTTCTGAGCAGTTGTGAACATAATATAACTGACAGGATAATTAGCCAATCACATGACTATTTTTCACACTTTTATTATTGTTGTTTTATATGTTATGTTATTTTATGTTATGGTTACCTAAAATGAAAGCTATTAATAATAATTTGTAAATTGAAATAAAGCTGAAATAATAAATATTAAACTTAAAATTTGAAGATTAGAAATGTTGCCTTGTTAGCTAATTGAAATAAGTTGAAGTACTAACATTACTAAAGCTTAAAATATTTTAATCAAAATGAAAATGAAAACTGAAAATATAACAAAATAAAAGCTAACTCAAAATATTAAATACTGTAATAATATAAAAAATACTAAAATAATACTTTTTAAAATAAAAAATCTTGATAATATTTTTTTACAGTTATGTTTTTAAAAAAAATCAGTTTTTCAGTGAATGAACTGGTTTTAGCTGGGGTTTTTTATGCTAAATCATCTGTTTTTAGCTGTTTTTGTTAAATCAGCTGTTTTAGATAGTTTTAGCTGTTTGTTTTTTTTGACGAACCAGCTGGTTTTTAGTTGTTTTTTGTTAAATCAGCTGGTTTTAGATGGTTTTTAGCTTTTAAAACGACCAAATTAAAGCTTAACTATTTCAAACAAAAAAAAAACCTTCAAACCTCAAGCTTTTAAAACTACTTCAAACTTTCTGGCTCGGCTTTTTCAAGCCAACTTAAAATTTGTCTACAAACTTTATCCAGTTTTTTTTTTCTTACTTGTTGAGAAAATTGCTCTCCTTTTTTCAGAAGCTGCAAATGCCACGCACATCTTTTAACACCCCTAATCTTGAGTATGTGCTTACATTGTTGCCATCCTCTGTAAGGGTGTAATATATAAGCCACCTGAGACAAATGGCACAGGTGGTGGTTGTGGTCTGTACCGGGTCATGGTGCTGCAGGAGACGGTACAACACAGCTGTAGAGCACCGTGTTACATAAGCAACAGAGGAAATTATGCGTTCTGGTCCAGTAAACGGCACAAGCATGAAATCTAGAGTGCAGGAAGCTCACCCGCCCATGACATCATTGCTTTCCTATACACGTATACTCTACAACACTATTTGGACAGATTAATTTTCTGTATAGTTAATAATAACAGGACCCACTTGTACACTTACACATACAAGATTTACTTGCCAAGACTTTGTCTTTCTCTGTTCATCTGTTTTTTCTGTTCTCACTCTGTTGATAAACACATCTATTATTATTATTATATTATATTATTAATAATAATATTATTATTGTTTGTATTAGTATTATTATTTTATTGTTATATATACTTTATTATAATTATTATATAATATAATTAATTATGTACTACAATACTATTACTGCCACTACTATTAATATGTAATGATGTTATTTGAAAATGTTAAATATTATATTATATTATATTATATTTACATAGCAATAAAATAATAGTCAAAATCTAGTCGTAATAGCCAATCACTGTGTGGTACTGTACAAGTAACAAAAGCTGCACAAATTATGTCTGTAGTCATTTACCTTTGAAGTAATGTAAAATAAATATATAAATAAATAAACTTGAAGATTTTGTGGCTTGTTTATAGTGTAAGAGTATTATTAACACTGGTCTCAAAATGGACAATCTTTTCAGAACCTAGTCAAGACAAGTCAAATGTATTTATATAGCACTTTTCACAATACACAATGATCTAAAGCAGCTTTACAGATATTTCCATAGGTTTCCTAAGCATTCATCCTCTTTCAGCAGGTAAAGATGATGTGCGAAGTGATGCCCACGATCAGCGAGGACACGGCGATGAGCCAGCGTGGCTCCCAGAGCAGCGCCTCCGACCCTGACTCGCATTCACTCTGTTGATAAACACATCTCGTCCTTGCCAGGAGATTCCTCCACCCGCTCCGCCTGTGTTGTATCATCATAGCCCAGGCGTGGAGCTCTGTGGCCCTGCGTGTTTTTAATGCTCGTCTCCCCTACAGCTACCAGCCACCACAATCCTGACAGCTTTGAGTCTAACAGGAGCAGACGCACATCACCACTATATACATACAGTCTACATGCTGTCTTCTCACAGATGCTCGGAGCAGTTCAGTCAGCGCCTCCGACCCTGACTCGCATTTTGAGCAGTTGATGGTCAACATGCTTGACGAGAGAGACCGTCTGTTGGACACCCTGAGAGAGACACAAGAAAGCCTGGCCCTCGCCCAGCAGCACCTGCAGGACGTCATCTATGACCGGGACTCACTGCAGCGTCAGCTCAGCTCCGCACTGCCACAGGTACGACAACTACACCCAAACTCATATAACCATACTTCTGACTTATGGCAAAAAGTCTCGTCCACATAATCAGCTTGTTCCAGCTAAGAACCTCCCTTTTTAACAAGTTTACCTCTTAAATGTCTTAAACTTAGACATCATATTCTGATAAGGATATCGGAGTACCAGCGGTGTAATGGAAATAAGTGATAAATGTTAATTTCACACTCATAAGATACATTTAGTTCGTTCCTTTGCTGAGCGTTTCAGTAAATTTTTCCACATCTGAGAGACTGTGAAAATATGGGCATGTCACAGCTGGTCATGTGTGATTGCAGCAGCTATAACTGGTGATACTAAAATCTGCGTCCAAGTGTCTCCTTCCGAACAAAGAGGACTAAAAATCAGCTGCGCTACTATTGCCCAGAGACATGGGAAAAAGCGATGGCTTACGTAATCACGACTAAACCCAGATTAGCTCGACACTCAAAGGAAAAGTGTGTCAGTAATTCTAGTCACAAGTCCTTACCGTTCTCCTTCCAGAAGTCTCTGTGTTCCTGGCGGAGAATAAAAGAAGGTCTTTTTGTGTAGTGGTTCTCATTTTCCCTCAGTGATACTCTTGTTCCTGGTGGAGACACGCTTTTAGCGCTGCTTAATGTATTGAGGTTTGAAAAAGGTTTGTTGTTGATTTGAGTGTCATGAACAATACCCTTTTACAAGTTTAGGGTCAACGTGCTAATTAGATTAATTAATTGCGGTGAAAAATAACGTGTTAAAATTACGCATTTAACGCACTTGCCCTGCCCCAGACCTACTTGGGTCATCTGATGGAGCCTAGAGAACGTAGTTAGAATCAAGGTTATTTTCGTAAATGAAGACGAAAACGATGTTCGTAAACTGAAATAAAATAAAAATATCAAAATAAAAAAATGAAAATGAGAAACTGATAATGAAATATAAAACGAAAAACTAAAACGAAACTAAACTAACAACAGTTATTGAAAAACTAACTGAAATAAAATAAAATTATATATGCTACAGAATGCGAGCAACGAGCGCTCCTAAGCTGCCATTCACTTCATCTGCAGTGCGTATGGCTATAATGCGCAACGCTGCAAATTGAATGTTGAGGCTCCGCAATTATTATTGAATTTCATTATTCCCAGTTATGATATGCGCGTTTGTTCGCAGGAAAGTGAGCAAGACACGACAGTTACAGTATCATGATTATGGTTAAATAAGATAAAAGACATCTATTATAAACAAATTACATTTATTTTCAAATTAAATATCACAACGCACATTTATCATTCAGTTTATTGCTTTTAAATATGATAATATAAGTGCAACTTGTGTAGATTTATGCAGTAAAAAGGCATGGCTGCTTCATTTTGCTGTATATTTGTATACTTTTACCATCTCAATCTCAGCATTCTTTAATTTTGTGTCGCTAGACGTTTGCGTCACTAAGGTTAAATTAAGTCTTTCTTTGGTCTGCGCTTTGGAAGTGATCTGTTAAATCTGCTAAACTTTATTTACTGAAACTAAACTATTTAAAAAACTAAATAGAAATATGTTCACAAAATAAAAACTAAACTAAACCTAACAAAATTATTAATGAAACTAATAAAAACTAAACAAAATTTTATTGAAAATTTGAAAACTATATTAAAATAAAACAAATTTAAAAATGCAAAACTATAATAACCTTAGTTAGAATGTCCCTAAAATTCAAGATATGGGGCAAAAATGCCCCAGCTTGAGTTTTTGTCTCATATTTACATCATATAATTAAGCAATATCACTAGTCTTTCTCTGTTCATCTGTTTTTTCTGTTCTCACTCTGTTGATAAACACATCTCGTCCTTGCCAGGAGATTCCTCCACCCTCCAACCGCCTGTGTTGTATCATCATAGCCCAGGCGTGGAGCTCTGTGGCCCTGCGTGTTTTTAATGCTCGTCTCCCCTACAGCTACCAGCCACCACAATCCTGACAGCTTTGAGTCTAACAGGAGCAGACGCACATCACCACTATATACATACAGTCTACATGCTGTCTTCTCACAGATGCTCGGAGCAGTTCAGTGCTTTTACAGATAGACCCAAAGGGATTGACAGACAAAAGCAGTATGTTTATGTACATAAAGTGTTGTGAATATCATACTGTTCAAAAGTTTATGGTTGGTAAGATTTTTTTACTGAATATGAAAGATGTTTCTTGTTCTTCCTAAGGCTGCATTTATTTGTTCAAAAATACAGTTAAATGGTAGTATTGTGAAATTTTCACAATTTAAAATAATTTTTAAAATTCTGTTATAATATATTTTAAAATGTAATGTGATGGCAAAGCTGAATTTTCAGCAGTCATTACTCCAGTCTTCAGTGTCAAATCTTGAGTTTTTGTCTCATATTTACATCATATAATTAAGCAATATCACTAGTGTAAATGTGATTGTGATCTTATACAGCAGTTCAATAAATAAGAAGTTAATATTGTGTTATTTTAGACACAATGTTGTCTGTTTTGCTCAATTTTGCCAACGGAAGTATGAAGACAAAGCAGAACTGTTTTTCTCCGAGCAACACACAGCGGCATTTCATTTCTTAATCCCCGTTTTGAACGAATTAGGTGAACCAAAAATGAAAATTGTCATCATTTACTCATGATCCAAAAGAGTATATGTAATAAATTGTATGTTGAATCAAACTAAATATTTCTTGCTGAAGCTACTTTTTGTAATGTCTGTATCAGAAATATTACTATCAATATTATCAATGCTTGATATTTTTGTGGAACCTGTGACACACTTTTTTTTAATGATTGAAATTGAAATTAAATAGAGATATTTTTAACCTTTATAAAATTGTTAAACTTCATAAATGTCTTTACTGTCACTTTTGGTCATTTTATTGCATCCTTGCTGAATATATAATATTGATTTCTTAAAAAAATTCTCACTGACCCCAAACTTTTGAATGGTAGTGTATATATATTTTGAATTAACATAAACCTCAATTAATTATTATTATTTACCTAATTTTGAAGATGTGTGTTTGATGACAGTATTTTCATCAGTTTTTGCATCCTTTTTTTATTTAAAGCTTAAAAATGAATGTGGCTGTACCATAGTACAATAAATTCAATAATCTAAATAGTGCAAATTATTATTATTGTTATTGTTTTAATTTATATTTCTATTAATTATTATTTAAATTCATCATTATTAAAACTGGTCTCAAAACGACCAATAATAATAATATTATTGTAATAATATATAATAATAATAATAATAATACTATTATTATTATTATTATTATTATTATTATTATTAACAAACAAACAGACAGACAGACAGACATACAAATAAATACATAAATAAATAAATAAATAAATAGTAGATCACAATGTTGGCAAACATTAATAATAATAATAATAATAATAATAATAATAAAAGTACACCAGTTGAAGAGGGCATTTGGGTGTGTGTGCGCAAATTACTACTATAGAGTCAAACCATTTCATGTTATTCAATGAAATGTTAGGTTATGGAATGTTGCCTTTAATACGAGGTTTCCTGAATATTTGAAATAAATTAGGTGAACCAAAAATGAAAATTGTCATCATTTACTCATGATCCAAAAGAGTATATGTAATAAATTGTATGTTGAATCAAACTAAATATTTCTTGCTGAAGCTACTTTTTGTAATGTCTGTTTGATGCTTTACACGACAATGACTTTAAATGATCTTTTGGGAGTAATTTCTCATCCAAATGTGTTGTGCGATTTATTTGTGATTAATTAGGTTAATTAATCGGCACATAATGTAATTAATTAGATTAAAAATTTTAATCACCAGCCCTAATATATATATCACTATATATCACCTATTTTTTAAAATTGTATTTATTCCTGTGATGGCAAAGCTGAATTTTGCAGTGTCACATGATCCTTCAGAAATCATTCTAGTATTAGCTCAGGAAGTATTTAAAAAAAAAAAAAATTTATCAATGTTGAAAACATTGATTTTTGTGGAAACTGTAATACATTTGCCTTTAGGATTCTTTGAATACTAAGAACAGCATTTATTTGAAATAGAAATCTTGTATGACATTATAAATGTCATTACTGTTAAGTTTGCATCCTTGCTAGATAAAAGTATTAATTTCTTTCAAAAATTCTTACTGACACAACTGTTAAGCCCTAAATGCACCATAAAACCTCATTGAAGTGGTCCATAAAAATTTTCTGAAGTCTTACGGTAATTTTATGTGAGGAACTCGATTTGTTGCATTCGTTTACTATATGAAATCATTTTGTGGAAAATAGCAGTGTGCACATTCTTCAAAACATCTCCTTCTGTGTTTTACAAAAGACAGAAAGTTATGCTGGTTTGGAACAATGTGACGGTAAGTAACTGATGATGGAAGAACATAAAAGATCCATTTACCATTCATAAAATACTAAACATGTGGATTACAGACATTTAGTTTGTGACTGATTTCTTGCTGTTTTACTGTCCAGCGCTGCATAATCATTTTAACGAGAAGAATGGCGGTCTAGACCAACCGGCTCAATAACAATGTATTGATTTTCATTGTCATGACAGTACTCATACACACTGTTTACTGATCACATTTTAAATGAGATGTTACTTCTCTCAATCTAGACCTTGCACGCATGCAAACGACTCCATTAATTAGCGTGGCAGCGCTTTATTATCCTTGCCACATCCACTACATGCTAATGCTTTACGAGGCTCTTTGGCGGAATAATTCCAGCAGGAAAGCCATGTTATTATGAGCTGTTGTAATTGAGAAACCGTGAACAGTGTCTGCTAATGTTTTTTAAACGGCATCGAAAGAGATTTTATTCACAGTGATTGTTTGATGGTGTTTGTAATGGCCACTTTACACAGTTTACACTAATTGCATGATGGATGCAGGCCTTTGCTTATTTGATAAGCTAAATATCAGTTTATTTATAGCTTTTTACAGAGCTTTTTTAAAATCTGGTTTTGGA